CCGCCTCTTCCGACTGGCGCCTGAGTCAAAGTGGCTGTGGCCGTGCCTCGCTCCTGCCAGCACGCGTGCGCAGGAGCAGCGAAGCGATGGGAACGGAGGGTGCTGCCTCACTGCGCCGCTCCACTTTGGAGGAGCTGGCGCCGGACGCGGCAGAAGCCGGCACCCACGTTAATATCGGGGATGGACAGAACCCCCAACAGTGACACGTCGATTAGTGAATTGTCCGTCTTCGGTTCTCGAGATGGCGCCGTGGCCGTTATTTTCCAGGCTTGCGCCCGCCAGGTTTGGGCGTTTTCACTAAACCACGTTTTACTAAAGGGGGGTCTGTCCATCCCCGATAATACGACTCCCGGAATTCCGGGGGTGGAGTTCTGGGGGGGGGCTACGTGTGTGTGTGTGTGTTGTCGGCTGGGGATCCTCACTCCGACGGGAGCCCCCCTCGGCGTCCGACAGCCCGCACACGTAGTTACCTATGGCGCCTTCATCTCTCTATTGCCCTTCCCCATTCCTCCTCCCTACAAGTTTGCGCACGCGTTGGTCCTTCACTCATGGGAGCAGAGGAAGTCAGAGTCCACATTTGTTTATTCTTGCTTAGCTCAGACAACGCCCGACGCTTGCCCTCAGCATACGTGCACATTGATGACTGTGATCATGATCATCATCAGCATCAGCATCATCATCATCAGCATAATCATCATCATCATCAGCAGCATCATCATCCTCATCATCATCATCATCATCGTCATCGTGATCATCACCATCCACAACTACAACATCATCATCAGCATCATCATCACCATCGTCATCATCATCAACATGATCATCATCGTCATCGTCACTGTCATCATCATCATCAGCAGCAGCAGCAGCAGCAGCATCAGCATCATCATCCCGGCGTGCCCTCTCTGATCGATCGGCTCAAGACGTGTAGCAGAAAATTGGGGTCCAAGGTTCTGGTTTTGGTCGGCCGCGAGGCTGATCTGTTTCGCTACCGAAAGGGTCCGGCAAGATACCATGAGCCCCCAAGATGGACCAATGCCTCTCCCTGGAGGCGAATGGGCTAGGGGGTACAGTCGGCACTGGATAGAAGATGCGCGACTTTCCAAGTGCACCTTTGCACCCATTCCCTTCGGCCCACCCTTGGGCACTTTTGTTGGCCGCGCTCCGCTCAAAAAGTGCCGGCGGGGCCTTCCAAGGCTCATGCACCCTTCTCGTGCATCCTTGCTCTCAATTTTGACTGCGCGCGGAGCCTGGGAAGGAGAAGGGGGCGGCCGAATGAGGGGCCTCCCAGCCCTCCCTCCCCCCTCCCACGCTTCCTTCAGCCACGCGCAGAGGGGGGTGGGGGGAGGGGGGAGGGCCCCGGAGGGCTTCTTGGAAGCACCCCTGCTTCTTAGAGGGCGCGGGCCTTATCTATCGAAAACAAATGCCCTATCCAGCTCAACCTGCCAACCCGTCCAACCAGCCAGCCAGCCCACCCAGCCACCCCACCACCCAGCCAACCCGTCAGCCAACCAGCCCAGCCGCCTACCCCGTCACCCCGCCAATCTGCCGATCCCCTTCGCCTGCTCTCCGTGCCCAACCAGCCACCCTGCCAACCCGCCCTCCCCCGCCGCCTGCCCTCCGTCACCGCCGAGAGGGGGGGGAAGTGTTTCTCACCAGCGAAAATCAAAAAAACTAGCCCTCCCGGGGACCGGCGGGACAGCGGGGAGGGGACAAATCGCACCGTACTATGCAGGGCCGGGATCCGCGCCGGGGTGCGCCCGGCACGGTTTTGGGCCTCAAGAGCGGCTTCGTCGTCATTCTTCAACGTCTACCGCGCCCTTTTCCTCAACGGGAAAGCTCCCATTCTTGAAACGCGTGGTTTCTTAGAGAGCCGCCAGAGGCCCCAGGAGGCTTCAGGAGGCATCAGGAAGCTCTAGGAGATTTCAGGACGTCCCCGGAGGCCGTGAGAATCCCAAGGAGGCTCCAGGACGCTCCAGGAGGTCCCAGGATGCCCCGCGAGGTCCCACAAGGCCACAGGAGATCCCAGCACGCTCTGGGCGTATCCTGAACGACCTAAAAAATCCCAGAACGCTGAGGACGCCCCTGAAGGGCTGAGGATACCCTAATTAGGAAAGCCGAGGAGGTTTCAAGAGACCGCAGGAAGTCCCAGTTGCTGCCCCAGGAGGCCCCCGGGAGGTCCCATGGTCCATCACGCCCGAGGTAGGGAGGGGGAGGCGGAGGAGGATGATGATGAGGAGGAGGAGGAGGACGAGGACGAGGACGAGGACGAGGAGAAGGATGACGAGGAGGAGGACGAGGATGATGAGGAAAAGGGGCAGGTGCCCCTGAGCACTGGGAGCGCCGAGCTCGTATAATTAAAAAGATCCTGGCCCTGGGAACGTGCATCCGTTGTAATTTGCGAGGGATCTTGGCCCTGGGAACGCGTAGCCAGGCTAACTTACAAAGGGTTTTGGCACTGGGGGCGCGAAATCCGTATAATTTACGAAGGGGTCGTGGCCCCTTGGCGCGTCCCGTGCCACGCCCCCTGGTCCCAGGCTGCCCTGCGAGGTTCCACGAGGCCCGAGGAGATCCCAGGAGGCCCCTGGAGTATCCTGAACGACCCAAAAAGTTCCAGAACGCTGAGGACGCCCCTGGAGTGCTGAGGATACCCTAGGAGAGCCTTGAAGGTCTCAGGAAGTCCCCAGAGGCCGCTGTCCCAGGAGGCCCCCAGGATACCCTGGAGGCCCCCTGAGGTCCCATGGTCCATCACGCCAGAGGTGGTGTGGGGGAGGAGGAGGAGGAGGAGGAGAAGGAGGAGGAGGAGGAGGAGGAGGAGGAGGAGGAGGAGGAGGAGGAGCAGGGAGTGACCGAGGAGGGGGGGAGAGGAGGACGAAGAAGAGGAATTGAATGATAGGCAATGGCCACGAGGACGAGTAAGAGCAGGGAGAGAGGGAGGGAAAAAGAGACGGGGAGGAAGCGGAGGATGTGCAGGGGACTGATGATGATGGTGATGGTGATGATGAGAAGGAGTGGGCGAGGAGGAGCAGAGGGAGAAGAAGGATGACGAGAACGAGGAGGCAGAAGAGGAGGAGGAGGAGGACGAGGAGGACGAGGAGGACGAGGAGGGTGAGACCACTGAGAAGCAGGAAGGGAGCATCAAGCAGAGCCGGGATCAACATCTCAAGGGCGACGAGGATCCGGACGGAGATACACACTCTGAAAAAGCACGGTAATAAGAGGCACCATGCGCACTGGAAGAAGCAAGCATGATGCTGATAAGAACGCGGTAAGGCTAGCAACAAGCGTCACGACGACGTTCCAGAAAGTGACTGTGATGAAATTGGTTTCTACCCCCGCGAGGGGCGTTACAGGGTAGATGCAAGGCTGGCGCCTTGTAAGAAGCAGCCTCCTTCGAAGAGACCCTCCCCCCCCCTCCACCCCCTTGTGCGCGCCGCCGGCTCCTCCCTTGTGCTCCCCCCCCCCCCCCCCCCCCCCCGACCACGGAGGCGGCCCGCGGCGGTGGAGACGGGAGTGGCAAAGAGGGCGCGGGGGAGCTGCAGCAGCAGAGGGATGCGAGGAGGAGGCGGCTCACCGGAGCGCTCGCGCCGGAGGCCGGAGGAAGTGAGGTGCGGACGCGGCCAGCTGGGACGGTCGGGCCTCGCCCGATCCAGCGCCGCGGCCAGTTTCCAGGTGCGGGAGGAGGAGGAGGAGGAGGGGCATATGATAGGGAAGAGGAGGAGGCTCCATACAGCCGTCGTCACCAAAAGCACAGACGGCTGGTTTGTATGAGTTCTGGCCCTGGGTGCCCATGTCGGGGCCCAGGACAGTGAAGTGAACAACTAGCCAGTGGGAGTGGATCAAGAGGTCCGGGCCAGACTTCACAAACAATTTGTGACATCTGATGTCATGGTGGACGAGGAGCAGCAGCAGTGAGAGTCATATTCATGCCGTTGCTGCTGGTGCCAGTCCTTCTCCTCGCATGTCCTGCGTCATCTCAACGCAGGCAGCAGAGAGGGGCGCTGAGTCGCTGACAGAGCGGCTAGACCTTTCTTTCATTTTCCGCGCACGCATACACACAGGAGGAATTCCAGAGACGGCCTCGCCTTCGAGGGTCGGGTCAACGGAGTTGGCATCTCTTCCTCTGCGGAAGGCCAGCGGAAGAGAACGGAGTAGCGAGGCCGCCTCCGCCGGCGGAGGGATGGCGGAAGCTGGCGAAAGCAAAAGATGCCATCTCAAGAGATGACCATTATATCGAACCCAGGAATACCCTTAAGTCGGGCATGTCTCTCTACAGGATAGATATTCAAAAATACTAAGTAAATACTCTGGGGCCGTTTTTGTTCCGTATTTTGCCATTTGGGAGTATTTGGGGGGTACTTCTGTTTTTTCGTCCAGGATCTCCCTGTAGGGGGACAGGCCCGACCTAAGAGTACCCGAGCGGGCCACCTGGCGCGCTCCAGGAAGGGCCCTCGCCTTTGCGCAGCCCACCCTCCGCAGAAGCAGGCGGGAGGCCGGCGGCAGAGAAGGGCGGCGGACCCGCCTGCGGCAGGCACCAGAAGGCGGCGTGAGGACATGTGAGACGTCGATGGGTTTGTTTCCAGGACCACGAGACGGAGGATCGAGGAGGAGAAGGAGGAGGAGGAGGAGGAGGGAGGGAAGAGGACGGAGGACCACGAGACGGAGGACCACGAGCGCACATATACATCTGCGCTCGTTGAGTTCAGCGGCGACGAGAGGGGGCGAATAGCCCAGGAGCGGGCATTACCGTATTCGCCCGGGAGCCTTTCCGAAGACACAGACCATCGGCGCACCTGAATACGTGTATTGTTCTCCCCTGGGCTATTCGCCCCTGTCGTCGCCTCTGATCTGTGAGTAGGTGTCAGCCCGCTGGAAGTACAAGCACGCGCCAGTGCGCACGAAGGTAGCAGCGGTGGCGGCACGCGATCCGAGAGCGGGGGCAGGTTGTTCCAGAGCGCGCCGGGGACCCGTCTGGGGTCCGGCGCCGGCTGCGCTCCGAGGGCGTCCGCTTCATTTGCATGAAGTACGCGCAAGAGTACCTCCGTCTCCTGGAGGCGCACGACAGCAACACCCAGGCCCTTGCTCGTGCGCCCCGTGTTGGCCACGACAGGTGAGTGCGGCCTCGTTGTGGCGGCGGCGATGGCGCAGGCGTTCCAAGCCGAATAGACCCCGGGGGGCCATCTCGGTCGGGCCCTGGGTCGCACAGAGCACAACGCATGGCGCGAGATTCATTTGGAACCCACACGGGCGATTGGATCGGCAGCCATTGGGGACCTCCAAGGCGGAGATGTTTGATTGTAGAGTTGTTCATGCGAAGTCAGAAACAAGACCCACCGTCGTCACGGCAAGAAAGTGTCGTTTCTTGTTTGGCTGTTTTTCATCGCAGAGCGCCCTCGTTGCCGCCGCTGGGCGCAGCTCGAAAACTTGTGACATCAACGGGAAGCACGTGAGATCGAAAAGCTGCGTAAGAGCGTACAGAGACATAAGGATCAAATGTGACGTCAACGAGCCCGCACGAATGCCCACAGAGGACGGTTACGGCCACACGTGTCGTAACCCAAAGGGGTTTTCCAGGCGCGCAGTAGGCACGTGAAACGAGAAACCAGTCTGCCAGCGTGTGCTTCACAGATATGTGTTATGCCCTGGTTGTCCCGAGGACTTGCTGGAGCCCAGGGGACCCTCACGAAGCCTCCGATCGACGAAGAACTCGCCCCAAGAGCTCTTACAGCATGATGCCTGATCCGCGCGCCAAACCGTATGTCTGGCCATCGCCCTCTGGGCTCGAGCCATGTTGGGCCTCAAGCGACCTCGGCGTGCAAGCCGCCGTTGCTCGAGCACGCTGGGCTTGCCCGCCATCCCCGAGGGGTTCCCAGAGATCCGACGTCGTGATTTTTTCAATGCGCGGTCCCCGGAAGCCTCGACCCAATCCCCAGGACCGGGTTTTCATCCTGAGTCGTTTTTTGACGGTCCCGGGGCCCGGAGAGGGCCCCACGAGGCCGAAAAATAAGAAAAACCTCCGTCTTGATTTTTTCAAGACGTTGGATCACTGGGTTGCCTGCCCTGCAGGGACGCTGCCGATGGGGGCCGCCTGCGACAAGACCGGCGCCGCCGAGGCCGCGGAGGCCACGGCGGCGGGGCCCGCGGCGGCCTCGGAGGCAAATCGGGGCGGCGGATCGGGGCAGGCCAGCGCATCGAAGGGGAGCAAACGGCACAGACACACTTTTACTCGGAGGGGGAGCAGGTACCTCCTCCTCCTCCTCCTCCTCCTCCTTCTCCTCCTCCTCTTCCTCCTCCTCCTCCTCCTCCTCCTCCTCCTCCTCCTCCTCCCTCCTCCCTCCTCCTCCTCCTCCTCCTCCTCCTCCTCCTCCTCCTCCTCCCTCCACACACACACATTTTCTCGGAGGGGGAGCAGGTACTCCAGATTTTGTAATGAAGGGAAGGGGGTCTCATTTCGGGGGGGGTCTCTTCCAGGCTATCTTGGAGGGCCTGGGGGTCTGGGGACGATGTTTTGGAGGGTTATCCCACGGGGGAGGTCTGAAATGGCTTGTCTTGGAGGGTCCAGACCCCCTCCCTTTTATTACGAAATCTGGAGTACCCATACCACTATCCTTCCCTCGTGTCCGCCAGTGTTGGTCTTCTCGGAGGCCCTCGTCGCCAACGGCTGGATTCGCCTCGAGGGTCTGGTGAGAGCGCACCCTTGGAGAAGTCTGGGGAGTAGCGGCATCGGTACCTCCTGGTTCCCCTATTTTGGGAGGTCCGCGGGGAATTCTTGGATCTGCGCTGGGCCCCATTGGCGTTCGGTCTAGAGTGTTCCTGCTTAAGTTTTGCCCAGTGATCTAAACTCGTGACGCGGGACTCAGCCCTTTTGGGACGGGCCTCCTCGAGCGCAGCTCTTCGCAGGGGTGACGTCTGCGTTGCTACTGCTTCCAGAGGTTCAAGCCGATCCAAGGCATCCTCGCAGACCTCCGACAGTCAATATCGTGTAACCTAACTATCCCCATCCCCAGTGGGCCAGGGTATCTCAGCCCCACCATCCCACTCCCCAAGTTGCGAATTGGCCCCTCGAAACCCGAGGAGAATAGCCTACTATCCGATCTGGGGGGGTAAATCCGCCAGTCGGACCGAGGCCATGCCAGTGGGGATGAGGATCGATTAAACGATGGGCAGACGGGAACTGCATCGTTTCTCAGCCCTGCAAGTGATGTTCCGCCCCTGGCTCAGTGCGGGATCCGATCAAAATCTCAATAGGGTTCCAACAAAAAACGCATTGAATTCCAATGCGAGCCTTAGAGGGTTGTCGGTTGTGCTCCGAGGTGTCTCGTTGGTTTGTCGATGGTACCCTTTGTGGTGTTTCAATGGGTTTCGAGCGTAGCCAATGTTTTTTGATAGCGTTATATAGTTTGTTTTGATTGTCTCAGGGCTGTCTCTGGAATTTGGACTGTCGGCAGGGGCTCTTGCCGAGGCCGTCTTGAGGCCTCTTGGGCTCTCCTACTCCTCTGAATCCCCCCCCCGCCCCCTGCGGAATTGTCAAGTCAATTCGTCGCGGTGCTATCGAGATCGCTCGGGGGGGCTCTCCTCGGGGATTAAAACATGGTTTTTCCCTACCTAGGCTCTGCCTAGAAGGGTTCTTACTCGGTATGCTTGAAGGGCCGGGCAGTGGAACCCGCCCCGGGCGGTTCCCCCGGCATCCGCCCCGCGGTTCCCCCAGTGACGTTCTTTTAACTTAGCCTTGCGTATCTCATCTTAGCTTAGCGTATGCACTATTAGCTTAGCTTAGCTCCATCTTAGTTCAGGCGTACCTTAGCTTAGCTGAACTTCACCTTAGCTTAGCATATCATAGCGTAGCTTAGCATGGCACAGCGCAGCATAGCACATCATATCATAGCATAGCATAGCATGGCGCAGCATAGTATAGCATAGCATAGCGCAGCATATCATAGCATAGCATAGCGCAGTATAGCATAGCATATCATAGCATAGCATAGCATAGCGCAGCATGGAATAGCCTAGCATCGCATAGCATAGCGCCGCATAGCATAGCGCCGCATAGCATAGCGCAGCATATCATAGCGTAACATGTAGATATATATGTAGATGTAGATGTAGATGTAGATGTAGATGTAGATGTAGATGTAGATGTAGATGTAGATGTAGATGTGAATGTAGATGTAGATGTAGATGTAGATGTAGATGTAGATGTAGATGTAGATGTAGATGTAGATGTAGATGTAGATGTAGATGTAGATGTAGATGTAGATGCAGATGCAGATGTAGATGTAGATGTAGATGCAGATGTAGGTGTAGATGTAGGTGTAGATGTAGATGTAGATGTGAGTCTCGCTGCTGATGTTGATGTAGATGTAGATGCAGGTGTAGATGTTAATGTAGCTGTCGGTGTAGATGTAGATGTTGCTTTCCTAGATGCTCCAACCCCTAGGTGGGGTCGCACTGGGATAACTGAGTGCTAAGAAGCCAGGGGGTGTCGATAAGTGCTTCACGCGGTTATGTGTGTGCCGCTGTTCTCCTTCTGCTGAAGCGGGCTCCGAGGAGGCTGCCAAGACCGAGATAGCCGCGCTCTGCCAGGCCTCGGACGTCCCTCTCGATCTGTCCCCGCCAGGGTCTCCCCCAGCACCCCAGGATGTGGAGAGGAAGGGGTCGCAATGTGTCTCAACTCCCACGGTTGTGCATTATGAGCTGGGGCCCGACGAGCGCGAACTCACGCTGGCCAGGTGCTTCCAGGACGGCGCGCCCTTCAATCTCGGCATTGGCATTTACCGCGTGCACGACAACACAAAAGTGAGGGTCGCCGACATTCGTGAAGGCATCGTCAAGCAGTGGAACGAGAAGAACCCTGGCAGTGCGATCGAGAAGGGTGACCTCATCGTTCAGGTCAACGACGTCAGATCCAGTGCCGGGGCGATGCTTGCGGAGATGAAGTCTGAGCGCGCGGAGAGGCTAAGGCTCGTGGTGACAAGGCCGAGGGACCAGCCCGTCGCGCCGAGGGTCGGCCGCTGGATGGCGAGGTGGAGCCGTGAGCACCCGCCGGTCGCTGCCCGCGCGCCCTGATCGCTGGAGGCTTCTGCTGGGTCTGGGCCTGGGGCGGGCGCACTGCAGGCAGGACGCTGCGTTTTGCTTACGACTGACCCAGGCCCCCTCCCGCCTTGAGGAGGAGGAGGAGGAGGAGGAGGAGGAGGAGGAGGAGGAGGAAGAGGAGGAGGAGGAGGAGGAGATGGGAGGAGGAGGAGGAGGAGGAGGAGGAGGAGGAGGAGGACAAACTCCCCCGTCCTGGACGCTCGGGACGCGCGGGGCGGGCGGGCGGGGTGAAGCATGCGATGCCTCGCCTCTGCCTCGCTTCCCCCTCCCAGACAACGGATGTATGTGTTGTTATGTTCTACTGTTGGCGGCCCTCGCCGGGTCCAAGGATGTCAAGCAACGACTCGAGACTCAGGATGTTGAGTTTGTCCCAGGGAGTGGATCAAGACCTCTGGGGGCACACGCTGCGAAGAAATCAAGGCGTCGGGGGTCTGGGAAGAGTGGCCCTTCGCCATAGTGAGATTTGAGTGTTTTCCGGCTTGTTCCGAGAAATCTCAGAGTCCCCGCTGGCAGTTTTGTTGCACAGCTGCGTTGTATCATTCAACAATGCCGCCGCCTTGCACCGTGCAGAGCAATCTTTGTAGGGCTGCGCTGTTTCTCATCGAGCCTGAGCGCCCTCCAGGGGCCAGGGCGTGGGCGACCCGCGCATCGCGGCATCCTTGCACCCGTCCTCCAGGGCCCTCCGATCGCTAAATACGATGCGACAGCAGCAGCCTGCGTGCTTGGGCCTGGAGGTGAAGGAGGAGGGGGAGGAGGAGGAGGAGGAGGAGGAGCAGGAGGAGGATGAGGAGGAGGAGGAGGAGGAGGAGGAGGAGGGAGGAGGAGGAGGAAAGGAGGGGGCGAGGAGGAGGAAAAGGAGGAGGAGGAGGAGGAGGAGGAGGAGGAGGAGGTGCGCGCCGCGCCGTGCCGCCTCCTGCATGCGTTGACCCCTGGTGCAGGAGCTGCGACCCTTCACACCTTGACCCCCTCATGGCTGGGCTTCGGCCCAGCACGCGTTGACCTGCATATGGGGATCTGCGCCCACGTATGTGTATAGATCCAGGGGCTAGCCACCCTCAACGGCTGCGCAATCGTACAGTGCCCTCTTGCGTGCAGCCGAACTTGCTGTCCGCGGCTCTGGCCAGGAGCGCTTCCCTGGCTCCCGGCGGAGGCGGGGAACCAGGAGGCCCTCCTGTCGCCGACGTGGCGCAGCTTCGGATTCCTCTCCCTTCCTCCTCCTCCTCCTCCTCCTCCTCCTCCTCCTCCTCCTCCTCCTTCTACTCCTTCTCCTCCTCCTCCTCCTCCTCCTCCTCTTCCTCCTCCTCCTCCTCCTCCTCCTTCTCCTCCTCTGCCTGCCTGCCTGCCTCCTCTGTCTGCCTGCCTGCCTGCCTGCCTGCCTGCCTGCCTGCCTGCCTCGCCACCGAGGCGCGCGGCACCTGGCCCACCGCGCGCCTACTGAGAGGTGCTCCAGTGTCTGCGGGGACGGCCCAGGATCGGGGGTTGCTAAAGGTGCCCCTGGCCCAAGGTGCCCCCAGTTTTTCGCTCGACGTTGGCGCCTCTGGGGCCCCCCTGAGCCTCGTGAGGGGTGCTCTGAAAGCCGTGGGGGCCTCCTTGGAAATTCTGGGCCAGGGGCACTTCCAGCAACACCCGAGAAACAGCTTCTGGGAGGGCAGGGGGACGTCCGAGCCTACTGAGACGGCCCGCCCCTTCTTGCGTCCCCGTTCCCCGGTGCGCGCCGCCGACCCTGGCTTTTCGAACGGGTGGGCCGTGCTACGTAATCACTCTCGGGTTCCCTGGAGTCCTTCGGATTCCCAGGAACCCTTGGGAGTCCTGGGGAGTTTCCTGGGATGCCGATGGATTCCTAGGGGTCCGAAGACTCCTAGAGATCCCTGGAGACGGCGGAGGACTCAGCAGTGGTCGCCGCGGGAGGGGAAGTTCGTCAGTCAAGAAGGCCGCGGGGGGGGGGGGAAACAGCTAGTTTCCATGGTGGCAACAGGCCTCTTGGTTTCGCGCCTATGGTTGGGTGCTGGTGGTAAGCCCATCTTCAAAGCCATCATAGTGGCCGCGGCCGTCGTGGGGGGGGGGGGGGCGTCGGAGGGAAGAGGGGGGCGTCGTGGAGTGGCGTCGTGGGGAAGGGAGGAAGATGATCCTGCCAGCTCTGTCGCCAGGGGGTACGGGTGTCGTGGGCAAGGGCGTCGCGGGGAATGGGTAGGACCACGTGGGCAGGGGCGTCGTGGTCAGGGGCGTCGCCGTGGTAGTGTCCTCTTCCTCCTCCTCCTCCTCCTTCTCCTCCTCCTTCTCCTCGTCCTCCTCTTCCCCCTCCTCCTCCTACACCTCCTCCTCCTCCTACATCTCCTTATCCTTCTCCTCCTCCTCCTCCTCCTCCTCCTCCTCCTCCTCTTCCTCCTCTTCCTCCTCCTCTTCCTCCTCTTCCTTCTCCTTCTCCTCCTCCTCCTCCGCTTCCTCCTTCTCCTCCTCGTCCTCCTTCTACTCTCTGCACTGCAGCGCCGTCACCTTGCACGCGTCTGGCCGCGATGGCGGCCAGGAGCAGATGTTTTTTTTTTTTTTTTTTCATCTGTCTGAGTCAGAGGCTGTGGTCCGCAGACAGGAGGGTGTCTAAGACAAGAATCCAGGGTTTCGGATCCGGGGGACCAGTTTCGCGCTCCTTTTTTCAAGGCTGCGAGGACGCGGCATGACGCCGCCGGTTCCTACAAGCAAGCTGGGTACACGTTCTGCGGCCGGCCTGGGCGAGAGCTGCAAGCGCATGTGGCCACATGTCCTTCCAGCGCTGGGCCCGTCTCTGGCCGTGTTCGCCAGACCTGCGCCACGTGCGTATCCAGCGCGTGGCCTCCGGATGCTCGACGTGTGGATCCAGCCGTGTGTATGTTCCAGCTCCTTGGTATCCCCATCAGCTCACTTCCTCCTCCTCCTCCTCCTCCTCCTCCTCCTCCTCCTTCTCCTCAGTGGGACACTTCTGTTAGGGAATCAGCGAGCCCGACCACTTGGCGGGCGTTTTCCATCCTACAGCGGTCCGCCCCTCAAGAAGAGCGCCGTGGACCATCACGGCTTCTAGTTGTTTTTTATACAGAGATATCCCCCGGGCCCTGCCTCCCCCGCGGAGCAGGGGTCGCAGCACAACATATTTTGTAGCCGCCCGCTGCTGCGGCGGAGGGATCGAGGCATGCTCCAAGAGCGCTGCAGCCAGCAGAAGGTCTGGGCTTGCGGCAGGGCGCAATTTTGTTGAAAGGCAGGCGCGGGATGCTGAAATACGCTTGCCGCTTCCGTCTGTCTTTATTCGCTGCGACCACACCAGAGAAGTGATCTCCAAGGTGTTGCACTCTCCGTTCTACCATTGTGGTCCGCCTTTTGGGCCTCCAGAGGCTATGCCGAGACCATGCTGAAAGACATCGTCTGTCCGATCCCCCACCGAAGGCAACAGCATTGAAAACACAAGTGTGAAAGTATATTGTTTGGAGCGTTCTGGAGAACTACCGAAGCCAAAAACGCTGAGGCACGAATGGTGTTCAATTGTGTTCTCTTTTCGTAGACCCGCCCGACACAACAAACATTCGAGGATGCGTCAAGCGAAGCACATGTTTGTTAGAATATGCCACTTCTGAAGGCGGAACCTGTCTTGGCTTGACCGGGGAGCGCGCGAGATTAAGCTGTGTCGCACGAGCGTGGATTGATACCAGGATCAAATGTAATGCAAGCGCGAGTATGGTGACAAACTCCCTGAACGGCCTTGAGTGACACACGGAGAGCACTCAAAATGGATCCCCGTCCATTCGTTGAACCTTCTCGTGGCGCATCCTCGGGCCGCTTCTGGTCATTCAGAGGTAATGCCGTGCCGACTCGATGTTGAGAAGTAGCCATTGCCAGACCCCCACCGAAAACAAACACGTTGAACAGCTATGCAGGCACAGTAACTCTGAAGTGCTCGAAAGGCTGAGAAATTGCTAATTGCTTGAACCCCTCCAAGGGCATTTGGGGTAGGAGACTTCAGACGAATCGAGTGCGCTTCTGTTACTAGTTGCTGTGCGCTGTTTTGTTCTCAGGGGGCGCGTGCTGTCGAACTGCGACGCAACGTGCAATGAAACAGGTAGCTAGTGTAACGTTGGCGGGCTTGCAAAACATCAACGGAGGAGGCGGTACAATGTTGACCCACGTTCCAGGAAGGATCACAGAAGACAGTTTCAGATACGTGCAATGTGCCTCAAATTGATTCCGAGGCCGCCTCTTGAACCATGTCGAGGTGCCAATTTGGGCCGTCGTTGAGCCTGAGAGGGCGACGCCCGCCCGCGACCCACGCCTGCGAACCACACCCGCTCCCACCCATGGTATGCTGTGCCAGCAGGAAGCCGCCCGTGGCGAGCTGGCTGTGTGACAAAAAAGAATCGGCGCCCGCGGAGGGCTCCTTTGCATTGGCTCTCTAGCCGTGCGGCCCGCGCCCAGCGACCCACCCCCTATGTGTTTTGTCGACGGCGCGCGACGGGGGGAAGTGAGAAGGAGAAGGCCCTCTCAGAAGGCAGCGGGACTTCTCAGAAGCCCCCGCGCCTTCTGAGAGGTCTCGGGCGTCTTCGGGAAAGGCTTAGAGACTTCTAACGCTGGGGGACTTCCGAGCACTCTGCGAAGGCCCGCCCCCTTCTCACTTCCCCCTGGGCTCGCCGCCGAGTCTTGCAGAAAGCTCAGCCCGCATGCGGCGGGTTGCTTGTTCCGAAACACGCGCCGCCTGCCGTGGGCTTCCTTGCGCTGGCGTTCGAGCCCCGCAGAGCCCCGGCCGGGCAGCCGGGCCCCCCTCCTGTACGCTAGCTTGCAACTGGGGGGGGGCTTAGGCACGATGTCCCTCCGGGGTCATTGTGAGGCATAGATCGCGCGACTCCTCCAGTCTGAGCGCCATTTTCCCGTCATCCGACGGGGACGAGTGGAGGAGCGGCCCCGAGGCATCTTCTTCCTGGACCTCCCCAGTCATGTGCACAGGACAGGTGGATCGGCATGTTGATTCGTTCCAACAAATCGTAAGACACAAGGTTATCTTACACGAGGCCTCCGAGAAAAATGCTGGCACTGCCAACGCCCCCGCTGCGCAGATCCCCGTGTGAAGGGCATTTTGGCTGCAGAGGTAGCAGATGCCCCCCCCCCCCCATGCGATAGGACACGGCTGGTGCCTCGCAGCAGCGCCTTTGCATCACCGCCGCAGCGGCGGGTCGACCGCCCGAGGTCTATCCGGTGCATCACCTCCCCTAGTCACAGACTGAGCCGTTGCCGCCCCCATACCCGGAGGGCCACCGGAGGCTTCCCGAGGTCCTTGCCCCATTTCCCGCATGGCCCGCTTCTTGCTCGCCACGCGCCCCACGGGCGGAGGCCTTCATGGCAGAGCTTGGCTTCGACGCGGACGTCCTGGACGCCATGGTGCAAACCATCTGCTTCGCGCAGGACAGGGGGGTCTTTCTTCTCCTCGTTCCCATCTCTGCAATCAAGTGCCTGGCCTCGGCTCTCGTACTCCTGTGCCGTTGGAGAGCAAAGGAGGAGGCGGAGGAGCGATGACAGCGGAGGAGGAGGAGGAGGAGGAGGAGGAGGAGGAGGAGGAGGAGGGGTTGGAGGAGGGTTGGAGGAGGAGGCGTTAGAGGAGGAGGCGGAGGAGGATGAGGATGTTTGAACATCTACGTGCAGCTACCTGCATACATTCAGGGGGGCGGTGAATCCCCCTGAGGCCTAAGTGCACCTGCCGCGAGGAAGGAAAGCACCACCACCTCCACGAGCAGGAGCGCGAGGCCAAGGGAGGACATTCAGGTGCCGCAGGAGAGCAGGAGAGGACGAGACGGCCGAACACCACGATGCACGTCCCTTGTGCTGCACAGTTCTTGCTGCATCCTATCTTCGTTTTCCATCTAGCTCAGCACCTTTTTTGGCCTGGTCCGTGCGCGAGTGCGTGGGGACCGAACCACTGCGGCCCGTCAGCCTCAGGTAGATGCCGCCGTCGCGCGCGTCGATCTTGGCCCCACCCACCGAGAACACGGAGACAGGGTGCATGTACGAGACCACTTCGGCAGCCATGTCTCAGTCCCTCAGCCAGTCCCAGTCCCATGTTCGAGATGGTGAATACCAGCGTGAACGTTACTGCATCAGGGAGAGCGGCACCATCGCGACCAGCTTCGGGAACGCCTGCATGGAGGGCGCCACCCTGAACACCACATGGCGAACCACCCAGAACATGGTCGGCCTCGGAGACCACCTCCTCGTCCAGGAACTCGACGCCATCCTCGGACGCCGCGGGATGTGTCTCCTCCAGTACCCTTTCAGGACGCAGCATCCCGACCTTTAGGACATAATTCAGCTCCTCCTCCTCCTCCTCCTCCTCCTCCGCCTCCTCCTCCTCCTCCGCCTGCTCAGGCCCACAGTCGGCGGCTGCAGCAGCGCCGACAGGAGGAGAACGCAGAGCATCATCAGCCTTCCATCTCCCAGCAACGGGAGGTGGGCCAGGGTGTGCCCCAGGAGGCTCCACCACCCCCAGCCGCTGAGCGTCAGCCTTCACCAGCTGCTCCTCGTACTTGTCCTCGGGCCTCACCCGGCCAGCCCCCGGCACCCCCCGCGGTGGAGCACTGCTGCCTCAAGATCCTGCGCGCGCTTGCCACGAGCGCACAGGTCCGCAGCGAGTGGAGCAGCCGCGAAGGCCCCTTCGGCGCGCACGCTGCCGAGCTGGGGGGCGACCTCTCCTCCTCCTCCTCCTCCTCCTCCTCCTCCTCCTCCTCCTCCTCCTCCTCCTCCTCCTCCTCCTCCTCCTCCTCCTCCTCCTCCTCCTCCTCCTCCTCCTCCTCCTCGTCAGCATCCTTCTCCGCTACCGAGCTAGCAGCAGGCGCCGGGCGGGATTCGGGAGCACCGGTGTTTCAGTGGAAGGCCGAACCGCCCACCCGTTTCTGCTCCAGCCTGGCACCCTTCTGCAGACGCGTAGGCACCGAGCAAGGCGCCGTCGCCAAGCGGGCCCCCTTTCGCGTCGCAGTGCAGGGCGACGTTCCTCCCCAAACACGTCGTCATTACAGGGCGCTCGGATGTGGAATGAGGGCGAGCACCCTATCAGCAAGTTCGTTATCTCCCAGAAGAGACGAGACACCTTGCAAAGGATTCGGTCACGCATGAGGTTGTGCGCTACGGGATTAAAGAATGGATGCAAAACGCCAACCTTGATGTTGACGGATGGTCGTGTTTCCAAGCGCTTCGTCATCCAGTTCACGGGTCAGATTCACTTGGCGACGAGAGCTCTGCGACAGGCCATGGTTGTGATCCGATGGAGAAGCAATGCGTGGAGGCGCTTCCATGCGGCGCCCCTTACTGGTGGATTCACGGAGCTCTACATTGGCGCCGACAAGAACCAAGCCACCATCCCGGAGAATCGGGGACCAGGCCCATCAAGCAGGAATTCGAGGCAGCTCACACCGACCATCGCTTCTACGTGGACACCGGGCGCGGCGAGATGTCTTTCTTTCCCGTGGGGGGAACTTCCACCACTCACGCTTGCGCCGACTGGTTCGACCCCATCCGTGGAACGGGACATCCCGAACGTCCGCGCCCTCGGCCTGGACAAGGAGGGGCTCGCCCCACGCCTCGCCAGGACCATTGCCCCTCCGTCCGCAGACGGGGGAGCGTGGCCTCTTCAACAAGTTTGCGAGGCCCCTGCCCAGCAGGCGCCTCGCGCTGCCTCGCCAGCTGGAACGCCAACTGTTCCGCCGCAATCACCCCACCGATGCCCAGAAGTGCATGTGCTCCGTCCTGCGCCGCCCAACTCATAGTGCCCCAGGCCCTGTCGGTCTCCCGTGCGCTGCTTGGCAGAAAACCCCGCAGGCTCTGGCGGTTCTCACGGAAATGATGGTCTGGCTCCAGGAAGGTGGTTTGGCATTCTGGGGACTCAATCATATCTTGGACGCATGCATTCCTGAAGGGGTGGAGGAAGAAGACCTCGGCGGTGGAGGATGCGAGTGGGAATGCGATAAACTTAGGCCCCTGGGTTTAAAGAAATATTGACAACAGGCTGATCACCTCCTCCTTCATGTTTCCGCTCTCGAAGTATTAGGCCCTCGTGGCCAACGAACTGCAGCGCGGCATCATCCAGGGATTCAAGCCCGGCACTTACACTGTCTGGCTGATCTCGATGGCCAGATGCTTCTTCGCGCGCCCTTCCGCGGGCACGGACCTGCCTCTCACTGCCGCCTTCGATTTGGCGCAGGCTTCCCCGCCCATCTCGCCGCGGAGGACGCATATGGTTGTTGCAGAGCCGTCGCGCTTCCCTCCACGTTACTTGACCGCAGATCGTTTTTTCACCTGGGCGTCGCATGCTTCTCGGATTTCGGCGGTGCGCTCACACTAGCGTTTCCTATCTTAGCGGGCGCCAACCAGGGATGCCCCGCATCAGGTACGCTTTTCGCTATCAGCATGGAACCCTCCGTTGCAGGTCTCGACTCGGCGACCGAGGTTAAGCATAGGGGGATAGCCCGACTCCGCGCAGATGACATTGACGCGGCCATCATCAAGCTTCAGCACTTGCTACACTGATCTCGCATCTTTGGCTCGGCGGCCCAGCTTGCAGCTCTCTGTCTCAAAGTTGCCGAGTGCCAGTTCATACCCCTTGCAGGCCTCATTGCGGACTCCATGCAGCCACTATCTGATGTTATAAGATTTAACCGCCCAGACCTTCTTGGGCAAGGTTGCCGGTGGTAACTTCTATCACGTACCCGGGTACATCCGCAAGGGCTTCGCCCCCCCTGCCGCCGGCCCCCTCTTCATCATATGGGACAGATCATAGTCGCGCCGGCGCGCCTGGTCGCTGGCTCGGCGCATCTGTCGGGAGCCTCGAGACGGGGGTCAATGCAAACGGGGGTCAGCCAGGGCGCCAGATCCTGCAGGATCTTGCGAAGACCCCCTCTGGCTGACCCGGGTTAGCGAGCCGCTCGTGGCCGCGAGGCGGCCGCGCGTATTGGCTGACCCGGGTTTGAGAAGATCTGCGTTGCAGTTTTTTTTCCTGCATTGCAGTTTTTGGTTTCCTGCTGACCGGGTCTGGATTGACCCGGGTCAGAAGATCCCCGAATCTGGGAACATCATGCGGGAGCGGATAGGAATCACCAGCGCACATGGAGACGTTGGCGTCGTGCGAGTGGCCGTGGGCCCATCCCGCCACCGCGTCTGGGTTGTGGGTCTGAAGCCTCTGGTATATGTGTTGGGGCGTCTCGCGGGCCTCTCGGAGGCGGTTTCGCTTTCCTCTTTGGGGCCTTCTGGGGCCGGGTGGGGTATGATTGGGGCTTCTTGGAGGCCTCTTTGGCGCGTCTTGGGCGCCTCTTGGGGCTTCTCGGGGCCTCCCGAGGGCTTTTCGGGGCTACCCGGAGCGCTTCTCGGGCCATCTTGGAGCCTTCTCGGGTCGTCCTGGGGCCCTCTTAGAGGCGTCTTGGGCTGTCTTGGGGCGATCTCGGGAGCTTTTTGAGCCATCTTGGAGCATCGGAAAGCCGAAACGGCGAGAACCACAAACTCCATAAAAAGCCTTCTGCAAAATCGACAACATTGGCCTCTTGGGGCTCATTCGGGAGGCTTCTTGGAGCGCTCTTGGGGCCTCGTCGGCCGCCTCGTCTTCGGGCACCGTGGAGCACTCTTGGCCTCGGCAGTGCGAGGACGGCGCAGTTAGCGATGCTGCACGGCCCGTGGACGCGACTGCGAAGTCATTCGCAAGGGTCCGTTGCCTCGAGGACGCCAGAGTCTTACAATCTGCGGCGGTCTGTGGCCTCGGGGGCGCGAGTAGTGCGCAATGTAGTAAGGATTCTGGCCTCGGGGACGCAGCGGTTAAGCAGCTTGCCAGGGCGCGTGGTTTCGGGGATGCAGAGATTGCATACCTTGCACGGGGATCTGCCTTCGGGGACGCGAGCGTTGCGCAAGGCGTTAAGTTTTGCTGCCTCGGGGGCGCAGTACTTCGGTTATTGTAGTGGCCTCCGGCCAGTGCCGCCGATCCGGGGCGCTCCGGGTGCCTGCGGAAATGAACGACGACGAGGAAGACGAAAACGACGACGAAAACGAATACGTCGACGACGACGACGACGAGAGCGACGACGACAACGACCACGTTACAGGGGGCGCGTGGCCTCGGGGGCGCAAGCAGTGCGTACTCTGCTAGGCTCCAATGGTTTCGGGGGCGCGAAGTGCATGTAGTTCACCAGGGTCTGTTGCCGCGGGGGCGCAGCACTTGCATTTCTTGCGGCGGGTGTTGGCCTCGGGGGCGCGAATCTACTGCAACCTACAAAGCATCGTGGCCTCGGGGGCGCAATTCATGCGCATTACATCTATATATGTATATATATGTATATGTATACATAAAGAGGAGAAAACACAAAGAACAAAACACACACACACACACACACGCACACACACACACACACACACACACACACACACACGCGCGC